TCGATCTTATCTCGAATATGGATCTTATGTCATACATGTTTTGTCTCTTGACGAATTACTGAGACACAACTAACTGATATTTGATTTGGTTTGCTCGTGATATTAATACGATATCGATCGAGTTCTCACATGTCTGATGTGACACGTATGACGTTCCTGAGTGAGAAAATAGTATGTACATCGATATCAAGAGATAGCTTAAGTGGCGCGGCAGCTTTTTATTGAAATCAAAGCGTAGACAATAGTATAAAAGAGTTTGATGAGAAACATTGCTTTTCAGCTAGCCTGAATAGGGCCACGACGATGGAATATAGACCAGTAGTCTAAAAAACAGGAAGAACTACTTGTCACAGATTGGACGGCCCTTTCGTAGGCACATGTGATCTTGTGGGAGTAATCTATGTACCGCATGTGACGACTTAGCGAGTCGTATAATCTATTTACTAATATTGTCGTGACGTGTCTTTAGTAATAGTGGACACGTGGACGCGCCCTTCTCGCGAGGTAGTTGAACTCGGGATATACGGAACTCGTGTACATTCTCTCTCTCTCTCTCTCTCTCTCTCTCTCTCTCCCTTCCCTTCCCCCTCTTCTCTTTCTCCCTCCCTCCCGCGCCCTTTCTTGATATATTAAATACAAAAAACATGTGTAACACCCACACACACACATTTTTTTGTTACGTATTAGCGAGAAGCCATCAAGTATGTCGAATAATTTATACAGTATATATCATCTATGGTTGAGACTGTTGAGACTGCGAGCATTTGTTTTTTTATTGCTAATTAATGCGGGTACACAGCCCACGCATGGTCTTTGATAATAGGGACATGCATAAACGCGCAGGGGAGGAGAGACACTGGTAAAGCGTATCCTGCACTGTCTACCGGCTGCTACTTCATGCGTGCGTCCGCATTCCTAGCTCCTACAATTACAAACCGCGTAAAGATACTCACACGTACATATACATATACGTATATGAATATACACGTTTGTCTATTAGAACGTGCTCGGTGGACAAATGCTAACAACGGTTACGGCGTATTACCCAGCCCAGAACCGCGAAACCTTTGTTGTCTCTGTCGGTGCTATACTCGACATCCGGCTTGTCGATCAAACATGGTATCATTTTCATTTCTAAAGTCTTTTCGAATCTAAAGGAATTTTTTGTCAACATTGATCTCTCGAATGTAGAATGCTTGTACTCAATGTTGTGTACTTTGAACACGACATGTCTGTTGTACGTCACGTTCACCATCATCGATGTCTCTTATTGTAAAAAATATCGTTTATCTTAAAGTATCATATAACTAGCCATAAGTAAAAAATAATAGTTATCCTGATATCAGTTAATAATCCTTTTTTTTACGATTTACATCTCTTTATCGCTATTATGTATGTCCCTTTCTACCGCTATTATGTAAAACTCTTTTACTTTATTTTAAAAGGAGATTTATAAAGAAACTGTGTTCCTCGATTTTGAAACGTAAACGTATTTTGAAATGTAACTTGTAAATTTTTATGCGATTAGCTTGACAGTTATCATTGCCGCGACATGTACATATTAGGAATAATAGCTTAAGAAAGTATCTTTTGCGAGAAAACTTGTTTGCAATTAACGCATAATATTGTGTGTGTGTGTGTGTGTGTGTGTGTGTGTGTGCGCGTGCGTGTGTGCGTGTGCATGCGTGGGGGGGGGGAGGGGAGGTACCGGACGAACACTAAAAATCTTACGAACGATACAAACGATAGATTTTCCAACGCACGTGGAAACATAATATTACTACTTGCTGGACACATATGGTAGCCGCATTATTGCACTCGCGGATCGTAGAAACACGCCTTATTATTGGTCATTAGCTGTGTGAAATTGTATATTTGATCACCAGTTTCTTCTTCGTCTATACACATGCAGACAGTCGATTTTACATCATTAAGGCCCAGTTTCACAAGTGTCGGTTAACTTTTAACCTTAGATTAACTTACTCTTCGTCTCTTTCTAAGAGGGACGTTAGAAAGAGACGAAAAGTGAGTTAATCTAAGGTTAAAAGTTAACCGACACTTGTGAAACTGGACCTAAGGTATTTAGGTATTTATAATCACACAAGTGTTGATATAATTATTAAAACCAATTACCTAGTTTAATTAGAATGTGCAATACGATCCTGACTTTGTTTATTAACCGCATATCATGCGAGTTTAAAGGAAAAATTTCAAATACATTGTGTACATACGTGTCAGAGTATAATAGTATAGCATATTTTATGATATAATTTGTCAGTGATAATCTATTTATTATATAATACACATCCATGTGGATTTAATTTCTTTTTATAAATGTAGGAATTATACATAATATAGAATTGTACTGATATGTATATTGTAGAGGTTTTGTGACTTTGAAGCTCGCGCAAGTGGGTAGTGTAAGTAAAGTGTGTTTATCAGATACGCTTATTGTTAGTGGTAATGAATAATGGTCGCAAATCCGTTTGAACCGTTGTCTCACGATGTATATAGGCTAAATATTGTCTTGAATTGCGCGACGAGGCCACTATACCATAAATTTGTCATTCGTCGTTTACCTTGTTGCACGCAATTCGAAATGCGGAATAATATTCCGATTATCTCATCACCTTAAAATATTATTATTATATAACGCGTTTTATTATCGTATCAGATACATATGAGATACGACGTGAGCGATGGACATGAGCGATATTCATGATATATTCCTCCAGTTGTTTCGTCTCACAATGTTGTGTGAACATTATAATTATTAATAATGTATATGAATGGTAGTAATGTGATCTAATAACAATAACAATAATAATAACAATAACAATAGATTTTAATAGATTTTCTTTGTAATTTGTAATGTAACTGAATCTGACGCGACAGGACACACATAACACGTGAAAAATAGACCTATCGACAAATCCGACTGTCAAATGGATAGATCGTTTCGTTCTGGGAAAAATGAGAATCCAATTCCAGATCAGATTCCAAGCTGTGTGATTCTCCTCTGTTTTTTCCTCTTTCAGCGTTAGGGCCAAAGCACATAACATGGCGTAGCGATATACGACGGTCGTAGACTTCGACCTGACAGATCAGGATACGCCAAAGCTTGTGCGTTACTTACGTCCACGACTACGACTGTCATATGTGCTTTGGCCCTTAGAGAGATGCATCGAGGCCAGATGAGGCTTGTCCGCACTAGTCTACTAGACTTAACTAGACTACAGAGAGCCAAAAAATGGCTGACAGACAACAAACGAGAGCCATTTGTTAGCACCGATTTGCTCTGACGTTGCCGCCGTGTCTAGACACTCAATGTCCAGATCCGCCGCCGCGCCGCCCAGATCCGCCGCGATTCTCTTCTATTGTATTACACACCCTACGGTATGTTTCCGTAAACTCCTTTATTTTTCTACTTTTACAACTTGCTCGCATTTACGTAAGAAATATCCCAGAAACACGCACGTGCTAAATATTAAATGTTATCAAAAAGAAAAAAATTTGTAAAGGAATACGCGGAACTAATTCCAATTGGTTTTTAATTTAACACAAACAATTCGCGAAAAATTTGACACAGATCTGTGAAAAATTCGCTTGAGAATTAGAAACTTTAGTTTTACTGGGAAGAAGTGTTTCTTTCGCAGATGCGAAATGCCGAACTTTGGAATAAAAATTGTCAACACGAAAAAGCTTTCGAAATAGTTGACTTTCATATGTTTCCATTTTTATCTAGACGTAGTAGATTTTAATTTGAATAAAACGCATATAAAAAACGTATAGTATGTATATCTATGTTTTGCCGTCACGTGCCATGAATTTGTTACCGCGCTCGGAAATACATAATTAAAAGGCGCGAAGGGAATAGCTCGTAAATAGCTGTGCTAATTATTGCTAGGCTCTCGCCAATTTCCTGCCTTCTCGTTTGTCTGTGTGCGCCTTCTTTCCATTTGCTCATTCGCTTTTTTTTTCTTCACCGAACACGCTTCATTTCTCTCTCATATATGTTTGCACGTATATAGTAGATGTATAAATTTCAGTAACTTACGTAACGTACCATAAAATATCGCGCATCGATTAAAAAGAAGTGTATGTCGAGTAGGATGAATTAAATGCAGACTTATTGTTAGAAGTAGACTAATATTGTATGTAAGAACGTACTTTTAATTAAAAGTGCAACACATAAATTTTTGTCTCGCGAGACGATGCAGTTTTTGTCGAGTTGTCGAGATTAGGTCGCGTTGAGTTTGCTGCTTGTGTAAGGCTAATAATATTATAAGCTGAAACAAAATTTTATATGAAATCTATGATTTATATCTTGGTAAAAACTCGCGCTGAATTCTTTTCGTATAACGATCGACGTCGTGATACAGTTCAAGACTTTCTTTGAGATGTCTGATTCCTTTTGTCCTTTGGTCCCGCCATGCCGTGGTTCAGCATTTTATAAGCTCTATAAACGTCGCGTACGACCCAGAGCGGAAAAAATAGTGTAGTGCTGGGCCTGAACGAAACCCGCGAATGGACGCTATTAGCTTCAGGTATACCAAATGGTATATAAAATTGATTTTTTATCGCGGTAGACGAGAAAGCGACTGGACTTGAGCCAACGATGTTTTCGAAGATTTTTAAACGCAGCATAACATGTAATATTTGATGTCTTTCCGAATGTCTCATCTCCGAATATCGACGTATTGTTCTATCGTTACTTACATATAAACGCGGTATGTCGAAAGCCAAAGGAAACATATTCTTTTCGATAATGTACGTTCGTTAATGGAAGAAGTTGAATGAAGAAGGTTATCAAATAACCATTTGTTTGGGCAGTGGGAATTACACGTGTTTTTATTCATGTAAATAACAAAAAAACAGATACGCCATGAATGATGAATTTAAGTATAAATCTCAATGATAAATATATTATGTATTTGTCGTGAGATGGAGATTTCACACGTATTAAGTTAATTATCAATAGCATTTTCCATTATTCTATACAAATATGTATGTGGAAAATAATAGCTATGATAGTCGATCAAGGACTCTTTCAGCAATATAGAATTAAATTCAACATGAATTTATGTGCACCAATGCACTGTGATTTTGCATTTTGTTATAAAGTCTCTTTTTAAATCGCAATTTATTTTTATGTTTCGAAAAGTTCTCGATATTTATCATTTGGGTTCATAAACACGAAACGAATCTTTTTAATTTAAAAAATTAATTTAATTTTTTATAGTGCGCGACTAGGTGGCTATATAAAACTAGTTTGTTGCCGTAAGTTAATTATTCATTCGTCAAAAAGTTAATCCACTATTTCTTTATAACGTTTTTGTGTCTTCCGCCACACTGTCTGCTTCTTCTTCATGTTGGAATCTAACTCGATGTTAGGAACGTCCGTTCTCTTTAATCCAAGACCAACTTTGTTGTGATTGCACGTGATAAGTAACTGTAACACACAGAAGTAGTAATTTTTTATTACAAAATATTATTTAGGTTTTCTAAATATTAAAATATATTATCTAAAGTCGTTAACTCTTGAATAGATCGGTTGTAAATTCTCGACAGATGTAATTCCCAACATAAAAAATCACCTTTTCACAGTTTTACGGAAAATTATTGCATCAACTTGTATATTGTATGCAATTCTTTAGGCTTTCTTTAAAAATGGTACCAACGACCATATATTACTCGTATCCATTACTCGATTGATGAGCTTAAGAGTTGTTCACAGGAGCAAAAAGACTCAACTCTGGTTTTATTTTCTTACTCGTTGATGATAGCGCGCGCGCGCGCGCGCACGTACACAAAGATACTCGCTCCAGTCCATTTTCTCTTTCTCCTTACGTCCCAGGCGAAAGAAGACTTGTAGAAAGAGAGTGGCGTTTATTATTATTATTATTATTATTATTAATTTCATCGTTTACCTTTTGCCTCAATTATTTTTGATAAGCAGTCGTCAATTAACAAATATCTACCAATATTTATTTCAATGTTCTAATTCAATTCTCTATAATTAGCTATCAACAACTCATCGTGAGCATGGAGTCTAGTCATTATATACAACTGACACCTTGTTTTCGGTTCATTGATTTTCAAATAAAGATATTTCTATATTTTTTAAATGCTTATCGCGTTTAAATTAAAGTTATTTTGAAACTATTAAGTGGGATATTTACTAGTCTTACAATTAGAGTTAACGCGTAGATTGATCGACATCACAGATGAGAGAGAGAGAGAGAGAGAGAGAGGGGGGGACGCGGGGAGGGAGAAGTCTACAGCAAACTATGTCGAAGAGGCGAACAGTGTAAAATAATCATTAAACAGCGTCTCGTCGCATATCATCGTCGGATTGTTAAATTATTTTGTCCAGTCGCAGTACTACGACCTACATAGATTTCGTAGATTTATTAGAAGAGGGAGGTTAAAACAGTTTAACAATAATGTGAGTACATATCTGTACAAATCTATTTACACACATTAAAATCGAGGTAAAAAATAAGATTAATAAAAAGAGAGAGTAGGTACGCTCCGTTTTTCTTTCGGATTTATCGAATATCTTGCGTGAATTAACAGAAAAGTTTAGATAAATCGGCTTCAAGAAATGCATGTAAAATTGAATTTTATAATTTAGCATAAGATCAATTTCCCACGTGAGTGAAAAAAAAAAAATCGATAGAATCTTATCTAGCGTGAAAGCGAAAGCTGAATAAAGGTAGAAAATAGACAAATAGGTCACATCGACTGCGTGAACAACAACCGCCAAACGATCGAAGACACACGGCATCATGATTACCGATTAGACGGTGTAGACATGTCGCGACGTCCGTCACGTCCCTGCCCTTTCCACTCTTCTCTCTTACGTCATCATTCAAGCCCAGACACTTCTAATGCGTATGCATACGCTAACTCATCGCGAGATGCATCGATTGTGTATACGTGTATACGTATGTATATACGTATTATTCAACGTGCGAAAGTGTGAAACTTTTGATTGCGTGGTCAAGAGACCGCGACCGGTATATCGAGGCAGCGCTTATTATTAATTGGGCTTGTGTGAAAATATGCGAACGATAGAGCGAATAGAAAGTGTCGCAAACATTTGTTGGAGGCTATTTAATGAGAGATTTTGTGTTTTAAGGAAGAATAAACAACTATGTGCAATTAATCTTAGTTCCAGTTGGCGTTTAGTGCGGAAACTTTTGATACACTTAATAGAGAGGAAGGAAATTCCTAGGTCGCGAAAACCTAGACACCTAGACACCTGTGGTCGATCGTGTGAACAAAACGATGCCGACGTACAATAACATATTAGGAATTCGCGGGTTCTCTGAGACGCGGTGGTAGGGTGCCAGACGGTCTGTGCCAGTTCGAAAGTTTGTCCCGGTTTACCCGTCTGGCATACCGCGGGAAGCGATGTGGACGCACGTGCGCCGCACCTTGACAGCTTGAATATGGGCTCCACAAGCACCCGTGCTGGACAGCGCATATTGGGTTTGAAACTTTGCTCGTTTACAACGCTGTAGTCTGTACGTCTGCCACTGTCGACCGTCGACCATCGACCATAGACCGCCGCGCCGTCGCCATCACTATACCACCATCGCCACTACCATCGTCATCAGCATCACCTCCTCTTCTTTCTCTTTCTCTTTTTTCTCCGTTTCCCTCTTTCCCTTGCTCCTCTACCAATGTCACATCATCACTGAATACACGTTGACTGTGCATCATGCGACTCAACTTCAAGCTTCTTTTTATCGCACGTGTTCTTTAACCCTTTCCCCTCTTCTCATATCCATTATGATCGAGATGTTCTCGTATGTCGAGATATATGTTTAGAAAGGTGACGTGGTTCTAGAGAAAATTCTATTCTAAATCGTTAGAAAAAAATATTTAGCAAATTTTAGACACAATGACTTTGAAGCACGTAGAAACAATTTGTCGAATTATACTTAATCTGACATTTAATCTACAAATTATCCAGCATATCGTGTCGTTGCAAATTTTGGTGTACCTACCTATATTATTTAAGCGAGATATACGCGAGAGGAGAGAATTTAAGGATAAAAAATTTGGAGCTTGAGTATTTAAATTTGAGTACGTGTTGGGTAATAGCCGATCACATAGACTTAGAAAAGTCAACAATCTCACCAATTATTAATTTTATGTAAATTGCAAATGCTTATGTAGGAAGAATTAGTGTATATATACATGTATAGGAATCACACGTTTTAACCGCGCGCAAGCGGACCTTCTGCGATAATCCTGTGATAGATGTTCCTATAGGTGGTCGGTAAGCCCTACCGGCCAGACTGTTCGGTCTATATCGACATGTGTTTACTCAGACGGAAGCCGTCTGACGATGATAGGGCAACCGATGTCTCTAGTACGCGATCGCGGACTAGAGACATTGGTTCGATTTGATCATTAAATATACACATACACACATAAAACAGCAATTAATAATATTCGATTATAAAAGCAAACGAATCATTGCTCGGTAATAAAAAATTGTTTTGGCAATGAGATAATGTATAGCGCAATTATTTTACGCGTCATACCTTTGTGTCTCGCGTTTAGAATATCACGAAAAAATGTTACATGAAAACATAAAGGAAGTAACGTAAAGAAGAACGTATCTTGTAAAAAATGAGTTTATAAAAAACGTATGTGCGAAATGAATTATACATTCTCTTCATTACGTCACATCACGTCACGTCACGTCACATCACATCACATCACATCATATCGCGTTGCGTTGTATCGCGTTTGATCCGATAACGTTTATTGTATACGGTTTATGTTGACCGCAAGACATATGCATTGAACATTGGCACGTGCATTGCCGGTGCGTTGTAATTAATAAATCCCATTGTACATATTTGTATGTCGATACCGGGCGATTATTCAACACGTTTGTATTGCGCGAGCATATACATACATCTCGTCTGGACCAATCGACCGCTTCTGACTGAATTGTATTCCTAGCTAACGTTACGGACAACCGACGTACAAACAAACGTATACGTATTGATATGCGTGTAAGGCAACGCCGACTGTTAAGCTGACATGTGCATGCGCGCGTGTATGGATCTCGTATGTGCACAGAATTATGCATTCGCGTCTGCTTCCTCATGGCTGAGTTGTGGTTAATTTCGTTTCGTCTTTATCTCTCTCTCTCTCTCTCTCTCTCTCTCTCTCTCTCTCTCTCTCTCTCTCTCTCTCTCCCTCTCTCTCTCTCTCTCTCTCTCTCTCTCTCTCTCTCTCTCTCTCTCTCTCTTTCTCTCTCTGACTTTTGAACCGTCAAACCTGAAAATATCTCGCAAGTACCTTTGCCTCACTTAATATATCGTGAAACCTGCGAGAAAAAACGCGCGCGCGCACCCGACGTATATAAACAGAGATGTAAAAAAAAAAAACAGTAAGAATGGAGACAAATGAATAAGAGTAAGAGATCGCGTTACACAATACTGTACACAATATTGTGCGTTACATAAGACAAAGACTTAAGGCATAAAACATTGCCGAGACAGTCATTCTGCTTAGGCCCTTAATATATTCATTGTGTATAGTTAGTCAACAAACAGCTGTTTAGACAGCGATATTACGATGTTGGATTTATTTGTGACTGTAAGTTCCCACCTGTTGCCTCTTGCCTCTCTTCCGAACACGTTACTACAAAGTTTTGTCCTTTTTGCTCTTTCTTCTGTTTCTGTATTTGTGTTCTTTGAATTTTTCTTTCTTTCCCTTGTCTAATCCTGTCTTTTTGTCTTATTCTTTTATCTCTTTAACGTGTCATAAATTATGTATATTATACAATATTAGTCACTCGGTCGATTTTTGTTAACATTTTCGAAATATCATGCAGGGAAAATGTTGAGAAGTGCTGGCATATATGAATAAACAACTTGTATCGACGTGCAAAATTTAGATAGTGAGCGATCTGTAAACACATCTGTAATATATGAATCTGCATAATAAGTAAAATAACTGTTTTACACTTTTTAAAATGAGTCTTAGGATGTTGTCAAAATTAGATTAGACTCTAATGTGTAAAATTTCACCTCGATATATTATGTAAATTGAAAGTTGTATTAGAATGTAGAAAAACGAAAATTTGTTTCTCTTGTGTGGTTCGTGGACCGATTCGTAATACGCATTGTAATAGGCATGTGTTTGTACTTTTTTCCCTTTTGTTTTGTACTGTTTTCGTGTCGTCTCTCAAATAAAAGAACACAGTGAATAAATAGCGCGAAAAAGATAAGCAAGAACGAAAGATGGATGGGAACAACAAGTTATCGCGTAATCATAAAGAAGGCATGGAAGTCAACATTCGCTATTTGCTTTTATATGTGCCTACCTTGTTTTCACACGAGCACGGCATTCAAAACATTCTCCTCCTGGGATTATAGTGGATTTTATATCGCGTGCAAACTGTGTGTAAGTATAGGTACAATATAAATATATTGATATTGTGCTAAAGCGAAGAGGTAAGAGAATAAAGTTTTTTGAAATGGCGTTGAATTTTTCATGTATTGTAGTACGTAACCTAACATGTTCCATAATACAACAAATATGAACCAAGTTTGTGACAAAATGACTAAATAAAAAGTGCGACACAAAAGATGAAAAAAATCTTTTTGTTTGCAAATAAATCTGTTTCTTTTATCCGGTTGATCATTATAAAAGGGATAATCATTTCGACGTCCAGTGACACGGCTGAATTATCGACGTACGTGTCATAAAGAAAACAATGCTGTATGCACAGTGTATAATTGTACTATTTGTACCGTCTATTCTATATGTCTGTATAATCCTTGCTGCATTGCGTAATATTCTATTATCGAATGTAATATCGAAACAACTTTGCTATACTGTCTTCTAAATGTGACACCCGCGGTAGAGACGCGTACGTATATTCGCATATATCTCGTATTCCGTTTCTGCCATGCAAAGCAAACCCCCTTCTTCCTTTTCTTTCCTTCTTTCTACCGCTATTTGTTTTCGTCGGAAAAGAACGATACGGTGTTGTAGTAAGAAAATAAACAGAGAGAAAATAAGAGGAAGAATGGCAACGAGAGAGAGGGAGAGAGAGGGAGAGAGGGAGAGAGAGAGGGAGAGTGAGGGAGGGGGGAGGGGGAGGGAGGGAGGGAGGGGGAGAGAGAGAGAGAGAGAGAGAGAGAGAGAGAGAGAGAGAGAGAGAGAGAGAGAGAGAGAGAGAGAGAGAGAGAGAGAGAGATTGATTGATTGATTGATTGATTGATATGTATTTATGCCCAAGCAAGGCTAAGGCCCGATTGTTCTAACCTGTTGGTAAACTACCTAATGGTTAAATCATATATATGTCTTTGTTTATCCTTTACATTAGACAAAGATAGACATATGATTTAACTATTAGTTAGCTTACCAACAGGTTGAAACAACCGGCCCTAAAGGGCAAGAATAAAACACAGCACATTTGTAACGTAAAAAGAATATGAGTGTTACAGCTAACATAACGCGATTTCGCGAATAAATCCGTATCAAACGATAGTCAATACGACGTATTTATGTGAGTGACTATGTTGTTTTTGCACGAGTGTAGATGCGATATGCTTTCAAAACATCTCTTCATGTCGATTAACGTCAGACATTTGGCTATAAAAGTATATAAACGCGGTCGCACGTGCACGATGCGCTCGAGCTCAAACATACAAATGATACAATTCAAATTGAATATTAAGTTAATCGCGTGATATCTACTATTTTGTTTAATGCAGACTTAACATTGATTCACGTGTTTTGTAAAAAGATCTCTTTACGGATAGCTTTTACATTCTCGCTATCCATCCATCCACAGCGGCATTGCAGTCTAAGTCGAACTCGAGCTTCCTCAGAATTTTGAGGTTTTGAAACAAAATTTGTTTTCTGGGAGTAGAGAGTAGGTTGTCGACAACCTACTTCCAACTGCCTAACCCCAACCTAGGGGACCGGTTTTCTCTCTAAATACAGAAGAGTTTTCGTGGTAAGATACTCTCGGTGGCGTACCGTGCCATCACTTTCCGAGAGGTAGCGATCGAATAAAAATCAGCGATTTTTGGTTGAATTTGAACTCGGATCTTCGATTTATTAGAGCAGCGCACATTTCTCTGCACTGTATCGCAGAGAAATGTGCGCTGCTCTAATTTTGTTCGCTGATCGCAGACAAGTTTGTTCGTAGTGTTATTTTATAGTTATATTATATGTATGTTACGTCATCTTTGCATCGATACATTAACAAATCGTGTTTTGAGTTGAAAAGGAATACGTACTTCTTTCATAAATGTATTTTACCACTTCGTGGAAATACGAAAAGTCCTTAATCAGAGCACGTTGAAATTATTCATCGCGTCATTTGTCAATAAACGAGTTTTTTTTCTGAGGCGTGTAAACCGCAAACAGATGTAATATTGAAATGGACGTAAATCGTAAAAGAAATCACTGAGATGTACGTTTGCACTCTGTCCGTAAAATGGCTTACGGCAGTCGATATTCAGGGAAGTCTATAAAATGAAATAGTTGCAGTTTCTAAATGCAGTCTGCGATTACTTTGCGATCCGTGCGTTCGTTACAAATGTTCCTCGCTTGTATATCAATGTTTCAATCTGTCTGTGTAAAATATTTCAAAACCGTAGCTGTGCACCCATTACTTAATAAATAAGGACTACTTTACGATTATTATCCAACATTATCGAACACATTTTTTTTTGTCGAACTTTGTTTAACATTTTTAAATTACCATCTATCTTTTCGCGTTTCTTTATCAACGTATTTGACGGATTTTTATTATCGATTTCATCACGATAAAGTTGTCGTGACAACGTTAGGCAATATTAAACTCATAAATGGTTTTACATTTCGTTCGAGATGTGAAGATGGTGAAGACGTGTAACTTGCGGTGATCCGCGCGCACATGTCGAATAAACTAGCGCCTGGTAAAGCACTTAGATAAATGAATCCGTCGAGATTTTAGTCGTTAAAGTGGGTATAGTATAGCTTTGCGTACGTAGACTACACAGCTCACGGTTCCGCGACGGTTTTATACCTGGTGGTTTACTAGCAATCGACATTCGCGAACTTAACAATGTCTGGTTTACGGGCTTTCAACGAGGCGAGGCGAGGCGAGGCGAGGAGAGGAGAGGAGAGGCGCATCATCCCAACGAATGTTTTTCTTCCTCGTATTTTGTGCTCGTATGCCTTCTCTGTCTCTATCGTTTACGATATAGGTCATATCATTGTGAAACGCACTCAAAGACGGTGCTATGCCGTGTATTACGCGGTTGCGGCTGCAACTTACAACGAGCGGTGAGCGGTACGAGTTAAGAGAAAAGGTAACGTAAAAAAAGAAGAAAGAATTCAATGTAAAAGTAGAATAACTGTACAATACATATATAATACTGAATGCGACAAGTACTTGCGGTTAAGATTGGCAAACGATCGGAGGTTAATTTTGAAACTCATTCCAACGCTTTTGTAATGTTCCAAGCTTTGCAACTATCCAATATCTCTATTTTTTGAACACGTTTTTAATATCTTTAGCGACACAAGCTGCATCCTTTATTTTAGGATCGATATAATATCTTCTATTTTGTGCCTTTCATGTTTAACAGATGCCTCCATTACAGAATTACGTATATTCATGTTCTATATAGAAAATATAATCTCCAACTCTGGTTCTCCTACAGTGGCTGTTTTGCTTTACGAGCAAAAAGTGCAAGCGACTATACATGAACATATCTAGCGGAAATAACGGTTAAAACGGCAGATAAATTTGGGAAAAAAGGCGGATGGGGAGGAGACTTCTGCTGGGACAACAGAACGAGCAAATGGATAGTGAGGCGCGACAGCGAAGGCGACACACAACTGCAGACGAGAGAAAATAACACAGTCTCCCTTTATATCCCACCCTTTAATCCTTTTACGTGCACAGGTCGGCTAACGCCGACATGTATTTCGATGTATCCCGGTGTATCCTGGTATATGCAATGGGGGGCATACGATGCGTCTAGACAAAATAATGATTTGGATTTCAATACATTTGCATTCATTACTCCGGGATGCTACTCTGCGCTACTCAAGAGCGCTACTCTCCTGTTCACGGTCCGCGATCCACGCGCTGTCTCTTCTCTCGCCATTTCGCATTTCGCAGAGCGACTCTCGTTATCATACGAATGCTCTACTCGTATAGTGTGACTCGCACCCGACGGCGCTCATTTCGTTGCCGTCGAACGGCGATACGACGACGGGTAGGACGGGAACCGGGAGGGCCTAACGCGGTACATACGATATACGCGGCGGTGCGACCAGATCCAGACCCCAGACATAGAGACCCCAGAAAGATCGACTAATGAATCGAGTACTTATATACATCCAACAACGACCGCGTCACGATGGAAATAAAACTTGTGTGGCCCTATCGATCTCTTGCTGTACTTTTCGTTTCTTTGCCAAATTATCTAATCGTAAGCTTTGGATTTATCATGATTCTTCACGTTGGTAAGAACGTTCGTGACAAGTTTTTTTCAAGTGAACGTTTTAGTTTTAGCTCTTTTGCAAGAAAAATATAAACGTCTATTTAAGCGTACGAACGCAAAAAGATTTTAAATCTCTTTTATACGCGTTGCACGTATCACATATTGTGATACGTGAAGTAAGCCAAGTATAAGAATGTAATAATGTAAGAAGAAACTTACGGGCTCTGTCCTTCCATCTCCATCTTTGCCCAAGGAGCGACCTTCGGACCAACCCATCTTCGAGAGCAACTTGAATCCTTTATTGTCCTTAGTTATTGATCTATGACAAAGGTAATATTCTTATTAGAATTTAATTTATTTACTAAAGACGCGCGCTGTCTACTTTGCTTCTTCAGAACGCGCGAATGCGCTCTTTCGTTTACATTTAAAAGTTGTAATACTTACGTGTGAACAGAACTTTGTTGCGTCTTAGCATAAGGATCCGAGGAACCTACATGCTGCCGCCTAGCTTGCGCTCTATCTCGATAACCTGAAGCTACGTGACTGCTAGACACAACGTTATCCTTTTCAATTCCGAATTTGTGTTTCAGACGTCGCAACTCTTCCTTGTGAAGTTTCGTCTTCGAAGCTTTATTTTCCGTGAGCGTGATGTCTCGTTGAACAAGACCCGGTTCGCAATGGCCACACGTTTCGTTTCCATCATGAATATGGCACAGTAATTTCGTCCCGCCAACTTTTATAACTGATCCATGCGTTATTTTGTGTGGCTCAGATTCCTGTTTAGCTACCGACAATCTTATGCCATTTATAAATGTACCATTTCTTGAACCAGAATCTATTACTCGATACTGTTTTTCAGTTTCATCGTATACAAAACGTGCATGATACTGTAAGTATACACGTATACACGTATAATAAACACATTGTGATGAGAAATTAAAAAAAGTACAAAGATGAAACTTTGGACTTGATCTTTTATCGATATACCTTGCTAATATTTATATCCGGTATCAGCACCGAATGATCTCCCTGTCGACCTAGGGAACCTCCTGTACATGTCACGAGAAAAAGGGAGCCCAATTTTAACTCTGCCAAATCTGTTTCCTTGACAATAATTCTCATACATGGTGGATAACCTTTCGCTAAATCTGAAATAAATATGATTTTTCGACGTGTGTAGCGTTTTTTTGCATTAAATACGTCATAGTATCACGTTTAGCTTGACGAGACGTGAATGTAACCGTGCATGTTTTTTTCTTTCTTTCCCTTCACGTACATAAGTCTCGAGTACTGGTTTCAATAAGATGAATTTTGAATCCGTTGAAAACGGTTCAACAAGACTGTACGAGTCTAAATAAAGTTACGTAGACGTTTCATAGTTTTAATTTTATGATAAGTTTGGATTTCTCATATAAAAAGTCAGCAGCAGGCAGATAGATTTATCGATTTGCCTTCCACGCACAGTATAAACCTGTGCTCTTATAAAAATTATTGAAAAATTTATGTTAAACACTGTTTTATTAATCACTTAACTCTTTTAACATACATTACGATTATTATCGAATGTTATTATTACTTAAAAAATTAACATTAATAATATGAAAAGAATGTGTATGTACTAATACAAATATATGTGTTATACCGGACTTTTATATACTGTACTAAAAAATAGTACAAGAAAATTCGTTAAAGTTTATATTATTTATTTCTTTTTTAGCCTGCTTTATGAGTTACGGCACAAAATGTCAAGATACACATACGTAACGTAAAATACGTACAGTAACATAACGAACAAACGTGAGAAAATATTGAATAATAAACGACGAATAAACCTTGTTCTTCACAATCACTTTCGCTATTTGTGGACACCTCAGGAATACGTTCGTCAGAACGATCGTCATTTTCACTTTCTGAACATTCGCCCTCTTCAGGTTCTTTATTTTTTTCTTCTTTATTTTCCAACGTCTCTTCATCACTTATAAATTTTCGCTTTTTTACGTCATCCTACAAGGAGAGAGAGAGATACGTATACATATTAAAAGCATAGGATAGTTACCTAAAGCTTGTCGCTTGTATCTTTCAATCGTTATCGTTTGAAAGGCCTTTTATCAATTCATCTATTTCATTCAAAACCTGTAATTTAAGATAAAATTTCAAATATTTTTTTACAAAATATTTGAAAAATTAGATATATATTATTACCTTATACGTTTTCCCACGTTCTTGTTCTTCCTTTTTTTGGCAAGTTGGAAGATTTACAGGACTAGTCTCGTTTATATAGACTCGACTGTGGACGTGGTACGTATTACTAGTTTTATCATAGTAGTAATATATTCCAGTGTTTCCATCATAATATAAACCTTGCCTCTAAAATAATACGAGAGCTCTGGGCTTGTCATTTTTTTCTTTTTTACACACACATATTACGTACGAAAAACTATATCATAAAGTTATAATGTTTATAAAGTATGTATGTACACACTATATAACGTACCGTATCATAATAATATCCAGTATTATAATCATAATACATTCCTGATGTCTGCTCATAAACAAAACCAGTCTGCAATAAAGCTGCGTCTGCGACTTGCTTTACTTGATCTACTATACCAAGTGACTCGTCATCACGACCAATACTCCACGCCTGTGGTAATGATTTATTAAAATCTAAAGGATCCGTCTGAATCCCACAGTGGGATATATATGGTTTCGTACGGAGCAAGTTTTGTTGTTTCTGTGAAAAATGACACCGTGTCGTGATTTATATTAAGATTAAGAAAGAACCAAAAAAATATGTACACATACGTTAAATGAAGTTGATTAGATGAAAATAAGGATATAAATTTTAGTAAAAATATATTATACCTGTTCACTTAGTCTCTTTTGTAGTTTGTCAATTTTCTTGCGTTGTTTTCTAATACAGTCGTGCAGTTTACGTATGAATTTTAAAACGTGAGGCAAACTATGTAATTCTTTTGCAAAATCTTCTTCAAAGTCTGATACACGTTCTTCTTCGCTTTCACTATGCATTTTACATTTGTTTATGATTTACGTGCTTAAAGGAATGTGCATTATTACAGTAAATGTTCAACCTAAAATAACCTAACCTAACTTGTGTTTTTTACTTAAAATACTGATGAAAATACAATTCTTTTTTTAATAACAACATAACACAAAGGGTTAACACTGTCGATACCGTTAACGATACTGCGAAAACGATAAATAATACACGTATACATATAAATTGCGCGTTATAATAATCAGTCTGCAAAGAAATAAGTATATTTTATTTTCTATTGCTTTGCTGCACTGCTGAACTAGTGGAGTGTGGAGTGCACACTGCTGAGTGCTGCACGGTGTTACGAAGGGCCGGTCTACAATAAACGTTGTAAGTTGTAAATCGTAAGAATTGGCCAATCACAGTTCATTATTCATCGACCGCAAGGAGAATAATGGATTGTGATTGGTCAATTCTTACGACTAAAGGTCTATCCAGACAAACTTGCATAGGTGCATAACCATATGCATAAGGAAACGGATTGGTCTATTTCCTTATGCACATGCATATGGACCAATCAATTCTCTTAAGGTCAATCCAGACAAACTTGCATAGCGCATAAACATAAGCATAAGAGATTACGGAAGTTAGAGCAATCACGGACATCAAATCTGCACATACACACATACATACATACGGACATGCAATTTTAATGCATAATTTCGACATTTTAGAACACTCTGAACATATTAACTTCTGCAAATTTGGAGATATCGATCTATTTCTAATTTTATTATATTTTTCAGTCTTTTAAACCCCTATTTCATATATAATTCTTTTAAATTCGGTTGATTAGACTTAGCTTTATATGCGATCAAAATTATGGATTTTTATTTGTTATTCTGCCGATTTGTTATTCTGCAGGCTCGCGAGAGTTATATTTAATTTAAATTTTAAGCGCCGCGTACATCGTGGCGCCGCGTGGTTCCTTCTGCAGGCTCGCGGGGGTTGTATTTAATTTAAATTTTCAGCGCCGCGTATATCGCGGCGCCGATTGGTTTTTTCTACAGGCTCGCGGGGGTTGTATTTAATTTAAATTTTCAGCGCCGCGTATATTGCGGCGCCGATTGGTTCCCTCTGCTGGCTCGCAGGGGTTGTATTTAATTTAAATTTTCAGCGCCGCGTATCGCGGCGTCGATTGGTTGTTCTGCCTGCAGGCCCCTAGGGAGTTAAATTTAATTTAATTTTTAAGCGCCAAGTATCGTGGCGCCGAATTAAATTTTAAGCGCCACGTATCGTGGCGTCGATTGGTTGTTCTGCCTGCAGGCCCCTAGGAAGTTAGATCTAATTTAAACTTTAAGCGCCGCGTATCGCGGCGTCGATTGGTTGTTCTGCCTGCAGGCCCCTAAGGAGTTAGATCTAATTTAATCTTTAAGCGCCAAGTATCGTGGCGCCGAATTAAATTTTAAGCGCCACGTATCGCGGCGTCGATTGGTTGTTCTGCCTGCAGGCCCCTAGGGAGTTAGATCTAATTTAATCTTTAAGCGCCAAGTATCGTGGCGCCGAATTAAATTTTAAATAGTTCACGCATACACTTTCCACGCGAACCGAGGTTCACGCACACCCCCCTGTGCTTTCGGAGGAGGTGCGGTAGTCCCGAAATATTAATGTTTATGTATTTAATTAAAAGTTAAACTATAAGTTGCTGTGCATATGTTCACATTTCTGCATCTTAGGGATATTTTGTCGTGAGATATTTTGCCATGGGATATTTTGTCGCGGGATATTTTGTCGCATGGGATATTTTGTCGCATGGGATATTTTGTCGCATGGG